TCAGCCCAAGAGTGACATGCAGGCCTCCTTACCCCCACCCCATAGACACTGCCCTCCCAGGCCCTGATGGGATAGAGCTTGGTAGAAGACTGGTTAGAGGTATCCAAGACCCAGCTCCTCTGGGCAGTGCCCTGTTGCTCTCCGGCCTACTGAGGGGTGGGGGGAGGATGTCCTGGGTTTCTCTGAGAGGGAGGGGCCTGCATGGCTTCTCCACCCCTAGCTGAGCTGGCCCCCAGAGAATCAGAGCTGGCCTCTGCCAAGCCAGGCTGGGCAGACGACAGGTCATCGGGCTCCCCGATGCTGCTCTTGGAGCTAAGGTGCCAATCCGTTTCCCAGTTCCTGGGGGTGGGTCAGTCCCCCAGGCACACTCACCCCGGCAGTGCTGGCTGTCGGGGTCCCACTCATAGCCATCTGTGCATTCCTACAAAGGGACCAGAGATGACCAGTAGTCATCCCCAGTCCCCTTCAAATGACCAGGCCAAGATCAGGGCCTGAGCCTGGCCACCCTCCCAGCCTGCTCCAAACAATGGCCCCCCAGATGCTTCAACAACCAGGGGAGGGAGAATCTTCCCCCAGGATCCTGGTCTCTGCGCCCTACCCAGCCCATCCCAGGCCCGTGGCCCCGCTGTCCCCACCGTGTAGCTGTCGGGCTCCTCGGAATCCTGGGGAGACGCTGCCCCCAAAAGCAGCAGCAACAGCGCCCAGAGCAGTAGAGACCCGGGGAGGCAGGAGGCGAAGGGGAGCATCCTGGGGCTGGGAGGTGGTGGTGGTGCAGGGGTAGTGGGGGAAGGGGGGTCAGGACGCTTCTGCCACGCACCCCCCATGCCCCGTTCCAGGACTCAGACCCCTGGCCCCGGCCGCCTCCCGCTCGGGACCGGGCTTGGGGCCCCGGAGCTTCCCAGGGCCGAGGGCCCACTCCTCCCGCGGCCGGGGTTCGGGGCCCACCCGTCCGCGGCCGCCCCGCCCCCGCCCGGTCCCCTAGTGGCGCGGGCTCAGGAGCGCGGGCCTCTCGGCTCTGCTCTGACGCCGACTCGGCCGAGACTCCGGCTCGCGCCCTCCCCCCACGGACCGCCACTTACTTGAGCCCGCGACGCCCCCGGGGCCCGCGTCTCCGGCGGCTCGGCTGGTTCGGGCAGTGCCTGCGGGCAGACGGACGGGTGGACGGCGCAGCTCCCTGGACGCGCGGCCCCAGGAAGCGCCCCCCGCCCGCCCGCCCGCCGCGGCGCGGCCCACCCCGGCGCCTCCGCCCGCCCCTCGGCGGATTCCTGAGCCCGCGCCAGGGGGAGGGACCCCGACCCCCCGCTTCTCCGCCCCCGGCCAGCCGCAGGCCCCCACCCGGTCCCCCGCGGCGCTGCGCGGAGCCGCCTCCCGGCGCAGGGCCAGGGTACCCCTAGCTCCCCACCCTGGGGGTAATGGCCTTGATGCCAGGCCCCCAGACTCACCCGGGAGCCCCTAAGCCCTCACTTTACGCAACCCAGAATGTCATCCTGCCCACCTGGACCCTACCTAATCCGGGCTCCTAGAATTCCACCCTGTGCACCCACATAATGCCGGGGCCTCCACACTCTGCCCCTCCCAGAATGTCATCCCGGGCACCTGGACCCCACCTAATCCTGGAGCTTCCAGACCCTCGCTCTACCCCCTCCAGAATCTTATTCTGTGCACCCGGACAGTCACTCTGGGAATACCAAAATTTCATTCAGGGTCCCCAGACCCTCGCCCGAGGACAAGACGCTCCCAGGCCCAGAACTGTTCATCTCTGTCCCTTCTCTCCTCCATCCCTAGGTTTGTCAGCCAGGTGGTCCCTTCACTCGAGGACAGCCTCCTCCCAACAATCGGTCCGCGAAACTACAACAGTTTGGGAGCGGGGTCCGCAGTTGCCTTTTGGCCCAGAATGAATGGAAGCCCCTGAGAAGGCACGCAGGGCTGAACTTTCGCGTCCAGGACGCCCGGGTCCGGTGCCAGTGCCTTACCGGCCCTCCTCCCAAGTGGGTCCCCACCCCCACCCCCAACCTCGGGATTTCTGCCTTCTCTTTCAAGCAGAGGGCGCGCCTTTTGAGGAGGAGTTTGGGCGGAGTTGGCTCCCAGGAAGGGGTGGGGCCTCCTCCTGCCCACGTCTCAGGGCAGGGCCAGACGGGAAAGGGACGCGTGTCCAGGGATCTCCGGCCGGGGGCAGACGAAGTGCGGGAACTGCTGAGCCCAACCTTCCCTTTCCCACCCTTGTTTATCCTCACGATCGCCCCCAGTGCAGCCCTGCCCAGGAAGAGGGTGTGCTGATGGGGGCACATGGATCCCGAGGTCAGCCCTGGGGTTCAAGGTGAATTGGAGAGTGCACCCCCCACCCCCCAGATCCTTCCCAGCCACTGGGGCGAGGATGCTAAAAATAATAGCTCTTTAAAACCAAAAGATAGGCAATAACAAGTGTTGGCGAGGATATGGAGAAATTGGAACGCTCATACACTATGGGTGGGAATGCAGGATGGTCCTCTTTGGAAAACAGTTTGGCAGGACCTCAAAATGTTACCACATGACCCAGAAATTTCACTCCCCTGTATATACCCAAGGGAATTGAAAACATATGACCACCCGAAAAGATCTATACACAACATGCATAGCAACACCATTCATAAGAACCAAAACGTAGAAACAATCTAACGTCCATTAATTGATGAATGGATAAACAAAATGTGGTAATGTGCTGGAATGTTATTCAGTCATAAAAAGGAATGAAGTACTGATGTGTGCTAAAACAAGGATGAATCTTGAAAATATTTCCCTAGGTGGAAGAAGCCAGACACAAACATCCTCACATTCCACTTACAGGACACATCAGAATAGAGAAATCTAGGAGACAAATTAGTATTTGCCAGGGGAAGGGGGAACTAGGGGGTGACTGCTAATGGACATGGGGTTTCTTTTGGGGTGATGAAAATACTCTGAAATCAGATGGTGGTGATTGTCCCGTTATGCAAATACACTAAAACCACTGAATTGTGTAAAGTTTTTTTAAAAAATTTTTATTTAAGTAATCTCTACACTCCACAAGGGGCTCAAACTCACAACCTCGAGATCATGAGTCTTGTGCTCTTCCGACTGAGCCAGCCAGGTGCTCCAGTGAATTGTATACTTTAAAAGGCTGAATCTTGGGATGCCTGGGTGGCTCAGTTGGTTAAGTGTCTGCCTTCAGCTCAGGTCATGATCCCAGGGTCCTGGGATCAAGTCCCGCATGGGGCTCCTTGCTCAGCAAGAAGCCTGCTTCTCTCCCCTGCCTGCTGTTCCCCCTGCTTGTGCGTGCTCTCTCTGTCAAATAAATAAATAAAATCTTTTTTTAAAAAAAGGCTGAATTTTATGTCTTGTAAATTATGTCTCAATAAAGCTGTTATTTAAAAAAATAAAAATAATAGCTCTTGATTATCAAGGCATAACCTTTCCAGGCACCTGCATGCACCTCATGCAATCCTGCCAAGCCAGGGAAGGGGCACTGTTACCACCCTATTTCATAGATGAGAGAGGCTGAGATTTGTCCACGAATAGCTAGAGTGGTAAGGACAGGATTCGAACTCGAGTCACTCTGATTCCAAGACTCTGGGCTCCCTGCCTCTGAGTACTAAGGACCCACCATTTGAACACCAGGGTCATAGGTGCCCACAGTCATTCCACTCAAAGGAATTGTTGCCACTTAGAGATGAGGATCTGAGGCCCAGAGGGGAATGACTGGGTACACAGTTGGTGACTCAACTTTTGAGTCTTTGCAGTGTTAGGCGTTGAGTACTCCCACCACTCAGGGTTGCCTCCTCGCAATGCTTCTCCTGACCTCCAGGACCCTGACTTTCCCTGCCCTCATCCCTTCTGCACTCAACGTGGCCCCTCATCCCCATCCCCAGACTGTGCTAAGAATCTGGGTGGCTCAGTCGTTAAGCGTCTGCCTTCGGCTCGGGTCGTGATCGTGGGGTCCTGGGATCGAGCCCCGCATCGGGCTCCCTGCTCCGCGGGAAGCCTGCTTCTCCCTCTCCCACTCCCCCTGCTTGTGTTCCCTCTCTCACTGTGTCTCTCTGTCAAATAAATAAAATCTTAAAAAAGAATGAGGAACAGGACAAGGCAGTAGCCGCCACTTACTGTACCCTAGACCCTGAACTTTCCTATTTAAAATCCATGACGGCCGGAGCGCCTGGGTGGCTCAGTCAGTTAAGTGCCCGCCTTCGGCTCAGGTCATGATCCCAGAATCGAGCCCCACGTCCAGCTCCTTGCTCAGCGGAGAGCCTGCTTCTCCCTCTCCCTCCTGCTCCCCCCCTCCCTCCTGCTCCCCCGCCTTGTGCTATCAAATAAATAAATAAAATCTTTAAAAAAAAACCCAAAAAACCCAAATGACAACCACTTGTTAGGTCTACAAACACCCAAGCCTGCTCGGGGCTGGGCCCTGGCTTGGGTGCGGAGGACATAGGTGCATCAGATGCTTCTGGTGTGGCTGGGAGGCAGGCACAGCAGGGGCTCAAGGGGCTGCAGGTTACACCAGAGGATGGGGAGCAGCAAAGGCTTCTTGGAGGATGACCCTTGAGCTGACTCAGTTTCCCAGGATGAGCAAGAGTGCTCCCCAGGGGGCAATGACCACCTTCCATCCCCACCCAGGGCTTCAAAACCTGTGGCACCCATAGCCCCCTGGACTTCCCTGTCACAACACTGATGGCCATATATGGCAACTGCTCACTTGGGATCTATTCCTGTTTCCTTAAGGACAGATCCTTCTCTGTACCCCTAGAATTGCCCAGAACAGGGTGGGCAGCGGGTCTCTGCTGAATGAAGAAAAAGGTTGGAGTGGGAAACAGGCAGGCTGAGGGCTGTAGGGGACAAAGGCCTAAAGGCCTGAGGCAGCTCTTGTAATCAAGGGGTCCACCTCCCCCTCTCAACCTGGTTTCTCCTTTGCGGTTTCTCCAGCTCCGCCCTCAGCCCCTCCAGCTTGGTTTGCACAGCTTCCTGCTCCCAGCACTCTCGCCTGCAGCACCATGGCAGTAATTGTCTACCTTTCCTGCCTCCTGGCCCTGTTGGTGGCAGGCCTGCCCCAAGGTATCAAGGGCTCCCTCAGGAACCAGGTAAGTGCCCCCCCCGCCCCCCGCCGCCGCTTCCCAACCTCTTCCCTCTGCAAGACTCCTGTCTAGGGCTCACCCTTTCAGAAACAACTGCCTTATTCCCATTTCTCAGAGAAAGCAACTGAGGCTGGAGAGGTGATTGACATGATGCCATGAGGCCCAAGCTAATGCAGGGAGACAGTGCAGGCTAAGCAGCTAATCCCCTAGCCCCATCCCTGCATGGCTAGAAGGCGAGGTGTGGTCCCAGCAAGGACTCCTCACCTGCTCTCCCCCCGCCCCTTGGTTCCTTGCCAGGACCCAGGTCCCCAGCCACTGGAGCTGAAACAGGTCTTCACGTTGTTCCAGATCCAGTACAACCGGAGTTACTCAAACCCAGAAGGTATCATGGGGCATGTACACCTCCAGTCCCATCCCCGTCTCCCATTTAATAGATAAGGAAATCAAGATTCCGGGTGGGGAACGGGCTGGGCCAAAGCCCCTCAGCAGGAAAGTTGGCAGGGCTGGGGGTGTACTCCCTGGTTTCCTAAATGCACAAGGGGCAACAGGATCACTCTTTGCTATGAATTTGGAGGGCAGGCAGCAGCTGTTGGGGGTCTACCCGTCCCAGAGGACCCCTTGCCTCCACAGCCACTTACTTGTCACTCCGCGCAGTGGGCTGACTACCATCTAGTCATGAGGTCCTTCAGAAACACCAAGGATACTCATCTTGTCCTCAAGCTGGGGACTCACTCTCCACGCCCAGGTCCCAGCCCTGCTCCTGCTGTCTCTCTGGGTCTCGTCTTCCATAGCGGGATGGTCTGTGCGCATCTTTCAGCCCAGGCTGCCCATGCCATGGACCCATACCCCACCCCTTCCCCACCTTCATCATGTCCCATCTCGGAACATGCAGTCGGAGGTGTGAAGGGAGACTATGACCTGGCAGGAAGCCAGTCTCTGACCACCCACCTTTAACTTCTGAGTCACTCTGCCTTCAGACCCTTTACGTGTCTTCCCTGTAGGTGGGCAGAAATGTCCCCTACTGCCTCTGAGGAAAATCCAACCCTAGAGGGGCTGGGGAGCCACTTCCTTGGCCCAGATGTCTGTGGTGGGGCCTGCAGTGGCCACAAGAAAGGAGCTGTGCTCACCTGGCTGGGTGTGAGTGGGAGGATGCCCAGCCAGCGGCCACTTCCTGCCTCTGGGGGCTTGGGAGGCCGCCTAGAACCACCCCCTTTTGCTCCAGAGTATGCTCGTCGCCTGGACATCTTTGCACGCAACCTGGCCCACGCTCAGCAGCTGGAGGCGGAAGACTTGGGCACAGCCAAGTTTGGGGTGACTCCATTCAGTGACCTCACAGGTACTGGACACTTCCTGGACCCTAGGTGATAGGTGCGGAGGCAGAGACTTCTGCAGGGATACTGGCGGATGGGCAGGGCAGACCTTCAGCTTTTATTTCCCAGAGAGAGGAGACCTGAGGACCAGAGGCCTGTTTTCTTGCCCCAAATCACAAAAAGCAGGGGCGGGTCCGGGTCCTAGTCCAGCTTAGGGGGTGAGGCAGCAAGTGCAGGTGAATACGTCCCAGGAAGAAACCTGGCTTCTCTCTGGGCCTCGATACCCTTTGTGCTTATCTCCCAGGGTATCATGCGGACTCAAATAACCCAGTGTGTGGATGGCTGGAGTGGGAGAGGCAGAGTATGGGGGAGAAAGGGTCAAAACTGTGACCCTGGTGGCCCTGTCCATCCATCCCCCAGAGGAGGAGTTTGGCCAGCTCTATGGGCACCAGAGGATGGCTGGAGAGGCACCCAGGATGGGCAGAAAGGTGGGGTCTGAAGAGTCGGGGGAGTCAGTGCCCTCCAGCTGTGACTGGCGGAGATTGAAGGGCATCATCTCACCCATCAGGCAGCAGGTACCTGCCCCCATCTGGCCCAGTCCAGCCTCGGTGGCATAGCGGGGGGCGGGGCGGGAGAGGCCCGGACACCTTCCCACTGCCCCCCTTCCCGGCTAGGAAAACTGCAACTGCTGCTGGGCCATGGCCACAGCGGGCAACATCGAGGCCCTGTGGGGCATCAAATACAACCAGGTGGTGCAAGTCTCCGTGCAGGGTATGGCTGAAGGAGGGGGCATGTGAGGGGGGAGGGGGGCACCAGGGCACGGTCAGCCCACACCGTCCTTTCTTGCGCCAGAGCTGCTTGACTGTGGCCGCTGTGGAGATGGCTGCAGGGGTGGCTTCGTCTGGGACGCCTTCATAACTGTCCTCAACAACAGTGAGCGCCCTGCCTCTCTGGGCAGCTTTTGGGGGCAGGGGTGGGGGAGGAGGGGGTGATGTTCGGGCACTGAGCCTCAGCCCTGGTCTTGCTTATCTGCAGGTGGGTTGGCCAGTGAAAGGGACTACCCATTCCGGGGGGACGTCAAACCCCACAAGTGCCTGGCCAAGAAGTACGACAAGGTGGCCTGGATCCAGGACTTCATCATGCTGCAGGACAACGAGAAGAGTGCGGGCAGAGCGGGGCAGGAGCAGGCCTGGGGGCAGGATGACAGGGACAGTCAGACCAGGATAGAGGCAAAAGACTGGGCTAGAGACAGAGACATAGGCACAGAGAGGTGGGGGGTGGGGTGGGGGTAGAACTATGAGGCAAGAGCAGGCGCAGAGAGGAAGCAGGGCCTAATGGTACCTTCTACCCCCAGCAATTGCCTGGTACCTGGCCACCGAAGGCCCCATCACCGTGACCATCAACATGAAGCTACTGCAGGTGGGAAAGGGTTGGGAATGGGGGGAGGGACATCTAGGGTAGGTGGCCTCACACTCAGCCCCTCTGCCCTTGCAGCAATACCAGAACGGTGTGATCAAGGCTACATCCGCCACCTGTGACCCCCGGCTTGTGGACCATTCTGTCCTGCTGGTGGGTTTTGGGACGAGCAAGTCAGTGGCGGGGAGGCGGGCAGAGGGAGGTGCATCCCAGCCTCATCCCCGCCACCCAATGCCGTACTGGATCCTGAAGAACTCCTGGGGTGCTGAATGGGGTGAGGAGGTGAGTGTGATCTACCCGAGGGGACAGGGCGGGACAGGCCTTGCCCCACCTTCTGGCTCTGCTGTCCCCTGGACTTCCTAGGGCTATTTCCGGCTGCACCGTGGGAGTAATGCATGCGGCATCACCAAGTACCCGCTCACGGCCCGCGTGGACCGACCACTGAGGAAGCGCCCAGTGTCCTGCCCTCCCTGAGCCTGCGCCGCCGAGCCTCAGCCCTCTCCCGCTATGCCCGCTGTCTCCTCGCCCCCACCCAAGTCTTTGCCTGTCCTCCTAATCCTGCTATGGCTTGAATAAACCAAGATGAGCTCCCTGTCTTGCATGTGAACTCAGCTGGGGCACCCCACGCTCTGACACATCCTAGGCTCTCTGGGGCCCCCTTACACATACATCCCTATGCACGGTCACCGTGACACTCAGAGACAGATGTGTGCACGCCCGCGCACACTCCCGCGCACGGGCTCCTCCAAAGTCATGGCAGCTTTATTGTCCGTGTGGGCAGGGCGGTGGGAGGGGACCTCAGTCATGATAGAGGCGCAGGAGGCAGCCACGGAGGGTGCCCATGTAGCGGTCCCAGAGGGCCTGGTGCCTGCAATGGAAACAGTGACAGGGGCCATTGCCTGAATCCCCATCATGTGTGAGATGCTGCTCCAAGAGCTTCACACATCTAAGTGCTTCCTCACTTCTCACACCGCTCTTACAGTTATTATCATCATGATCCTCCCGTTCTACAGGGGAAACTGAGGCGTGGAGAGGTTCAGGAGCCTACCTAAGACCAGGTCACAGCCTCTAAGAGGGGGGCCCACAGACTTCCACCCCTAGGGCAGAAGAGAGAACCCCGCATCTGCAGGAGGGCTACGCCCTGGCAGGAGGCTGGCTACAGCAAGGCCAAGCTGGAAAGGAAGCCTGGGGTCTCTCACCGGAAGCCATCCAGGGAGTGGACGGATGCCGAATACTGATTCAAGAAGAGCCGCACATCACTCAGTGGCCAGTGGTCAGAACGGCAGGGTTCCACGAACTGTGGGCCCAAGGAAACATCTAGCGCTGGGACAGCCCAGGGATAGGCCAGGCAGGGGATCAGAGGGCAGCAGGCAGGACAGCTCACCTTCTCCACGAGGTCCACAAACAGGTCTCTGACGTCCTTATTATGGGTCAGCTTGGCAGCCACGTTCACCAGCCCCCGGGACAGGTTCTGTGGGGCAGAGAGCCTGGGAGTTCTGCCTTCTGTCCCTGAGGCTGGAGGCTGAGCCCAGCGGCTGGAGGAGGGGCATGTCCCTCCCTGAAATCTAGCCACCTCCCTCAATCAAATAACTCCCCGATGTGCCCCCCTGCCCCGCCCACCTGACGTGGGTAGAAGGAGCAGCAGCAGGGCTACCCGCTCCAGCATGAGCAGAGTCGCCCCGTGGGGACAGTGCAGTGAGGCTGAAGATGCCCAAGGGACAGAGGCTGGATTAGGCCACAGACCTTGAAGTTGGCTTCCATCTCAGAGAAGACACCAAGCTTTCCCCGAAGGGCAGTACACACCAGGCTGCAGGGAGACAGGGTAAGCCCAAAGGTGCTGGGGCCCCTACTCATGCCCCGGCCTGAGGACTCCCCACGGTCACCTCTTGTGCAGGTCCAGAAGGTCCTTGTCAGCCACAAGCATTTTGAGCTCCTTCAAGTCCTGGAGAAACTCCTTGTCTAGATCCACATCCATGTCATCCACCTGGGAGTCTGGGGGAGGCCCAGCAAGGAATGGGGGTGGGGGTAAAAACCCCTCTGGTGATATCCGGAGCCTTCCACACCCATCATCTCAGCGCACCCCGTGACACAGAGAAGGGAGTGGCGGGAAGGTGGAGTGATTTGTCCCGGGCCACAGACAAGTGGCGGGCCCTTTGTCTGCAGATGAGCTGTGCGTGGGGACACGGCTATGAGCAGTGGTGGCTGCTGGGGGGGCACTGAAAAAGAAAGGATGCTGGAAACTGGGGCCTGCAGGAGATACTGTTGGTGGGGAACCAGGTCCTGAGAGGGTGGGGAGGTGTCTGGGCACCTGGGTGAGTGGGGGCCTCACCGACAGCTCCGAGGGTCCAGTTCTGGATCATCAGCTCAGCACAGTAGGCAAAGTCACCAAAGCTCAGATACTGCAGTTTTTTCTTCCCTGTCTCGAAGCGGTTGTTGGCAAAGAAGACGATGGCTGCATAGTCCCTGCAAGGAGAGGAGAGACTGTCAGGGTTTCAAATTCCTCTTTAGCGAGCAGCTCGAACCTGTGATGTTGGCAGGGCATCTGACTTCTGGCCTGTCTCTGCCCCAGCTCACTACGTGACGTGCTTCAAGCCACTTCTCTCTGGGCCTCCCCGTCCGCGTACAGAGGTTTCAGCCCAGGTCTCCCAAGGGGAACAGAGGGAGACCTGAGGATAACAGTTATCATTTCCTGAGCACTTCCTAAGCCCCAGGGGCTGCAACACAGGCTTTACAATGTGGTATCTCACAACAGCCCCACTGGTAAATGGCCAGGCTGGGATCTGAAGCCAGGCCAGTCTGATCCAAAGCGCAGACCAGGAGTAGGAGAGCCATCCCCCAATACAACCAGGAGGTCAATTGGGTTGGGGTGGAGAAGGTGGACCTGCCTTATGGCCCAAGGAAGAAGCGTGCAGGAAAGGGAGATGGCTGGCTCTTTGCCCAGCCCCTCACCTGGCCAACCGGTCAGACAGGAGGAAGTGTTGCTGAATGTTATCCACCAGGGAGCCCCGCATTTCCTCCACCACCTTGAAGACTCGCTTAAAGTTGTCAAACTGTAGGGCAGTTAGGGGAGGAGTGAGGACTGCTCAGAGGCTGGTCATCCAATAAACTGATTACTGAACATCCTTCCCTCACCTATCGATCTATCCAGTCAGCAGATGCTGACTTAGCATGTGGTATTCTTCAATAAACTATTAACTGTAAATACCTGTTATCAATTCAAGTATCTTGCCCTGTATAAATGTCTACTCACTCCTACCTCTGAATTCCCCCTACTTTAGCATCATGCTCTCCAGTTCTTCATGAGCTCATGCTGGAACTGACTCTCCTGGCTAAGGTCCAGGAAGTAAAAAAAACAAGCAAATGCTAAGCGGTTCAGAAGGAGTGCACAAATGACAGAGAAAAAATACTAAAGGCCCAGAAGGGCTACTTCTCCCTTCTGGGCCACCAAAAAGGCTTGTGGAGAAGGTGGCATCTGACCCCCTGTATTTCAAGGAGTAGATAAGGCCAAGAATAGTACCCTCCAGGGAGGAGTAGCAGGAGCAAAAAGAAAGCCAGGGGCTGGAGAAATATAAGCTGAGAAAGGCTGGCAGAGACCAGATCACAGAAGAGTATGACGGTCAAGGCCAAGGAGTGTGACTACTATCCAGGATGGAGTGGGAGAGTCAATTAAAGTTTACCAGGAGGGTAAAGCTATGGTCAGATCTGAGCTTCTGAAAGAGTAGCTCCCGCAGGGGAGTAGGAGATGCTTTGAAAGAACAAAAAAAGGGACAAGAGACTGGGTATGAAGCCCCTGCCACAATCAGAGGTGGGGGAGGAGAACGGAGCTGGGGCAGTGACCAAAGGGATGGAGTGAAGGGACAGACTGGACATGGGATGTTGTGTTGAGGGGCAGGGATGCAGTGCCCACTTGTCTCCGGCAGCTCTTGAGGGTGATGCCTGTTTTGGTGCTGATGTCGTCCAGGTCTTTCTTGGTGCCCTTGGACAGCTTCTTGCCCAGGACCTCCCGCACAAAGGCCTCGTCAAAGGCATAGTACCTGCGTGGAGGCAGAGGACACCACTGACTTTCCACATAGGAGGGAAACGGCGGCCCGACAGGGCCTAGGTTTGGCCCCTCCTGCTCTCAACTTTCTCAGACCTTGTGTAAGTCCCATCCCCACCCAGGCCTCAGTTTCGCCCTGCAAAATGGGTATATGGTCACACTGATTGGTGTCCCACCTCTCGATGAGCAGCGCCTGTCGGGAGGGCGGGATCTGGAAGATGAGCTGGTGCAACAGCTTGGGCGGTGCGTGCAGCAGGCGCTCGAGCATGTGGAAAGTACGGTAGTGGTCCATGGTGTCGCTCTGCAGCACCGCCGCCGTGGCGCCCGTCTGCTCCAGGATTCCCGAGCGCACCCTCAGGGCCACCGCGTCGCTCACTGGGGAGTGGGCGCTAGCATTAAGCCCCGCTCCGCGAACCCACAGGCCCTCGGGGGTTCCCAAGTCCAACTTCTAAACACCGCTTACTCCCTCTGCCCACTTCCCCAAAGGACGGGAGTCCTGGCCCCGCCCCCTCTCCCATCCCAAACAACCGCCCCTCCTGACCCGCTCGGCAGACGGCCCCCCACACACCCGAGTAACCATCCAGCCAGAGGCGATACACGTCCTCGTCGATGAGGGTCGTGTTCCCCACGAAGATGTCCAGCTCGCTGGTCATGGCGACGCCCGGACCCGGGCGCAGCTGCAGAGCCCCGGTTGGAGCGAGCACTGCCCGGGCCGGGCGCGCCGCCTGAAGGCTACTTCCGGGAGCGCCAAGATTCGGCTCCGGGCACCCGGAGCCAGAGAAGGACCACTTCCGGGACAGAGAGGGTGGGGGCAGAAGCGGCGAAGGAAGAGGAGTAGCCCCTCCTCCCGGCGGGAGGGGCAATCCCAGGCTCCTCGTCCCCGCCCGCCCCCTCTTCCTGGCCCAGTTTGCCGGAAGACTTCGGGAGTCGAGGCCAACAGCCAGTCTCCCCTGCGCTGGCAGCCTTCCCCCACTCTTCCTTCTGGCTTTTCTCCCACTTTCTCTGCCCTTTTCTGGGCCTCCTTACTTTGACGTGTATCTTAAATGTAGAGGTTTCACAGGTCTCTGTCCTAAATCTTTTCTCTGCAAAAAATATGTCTGACCTCACTTCCAAGGGCCCTTGCTGGGAGCGCCTCAGTCCATCCTGCAGCTGAGCAACACTTCTGGGCATGGGGCTCCTGCTCCCATGGTTTTAACCCCCCACCTTCCCACCCCCGTGCATTAATGACTTCTCTTACTCTAGCTCAGAGCTCTGGCTGGAAGTCCACATCAGAGGGCTGCGTATCTGCTCGTCTTTCTACGCTGTCTATACCCTACAGGTCCCTCAAAAGCTAGACAGGTCTCTTTCCGATCTGTTTCTTTCCTGCGTTCCTATCTCAGTGACAGTCCCAACATTCACCCAGTTCTCATGCCAGAACCCTGTGCTTTCTCCCAGAGTCCTCACTCCAAACATTCAGTTCTGCTGATTTGCCTCCTGAATATTTCTAGGATGTTTTGTCCTCCCAACCCCTACAGGCACTGTCCCAGCCCAGTCCTTCTGCATAGCTCTACCTTGCCCGTAGACACAGTGTTCTTACTAATCTCCCTGCCTACATCTCTTCCCCATGGTTCATCCCACACAGAGCAGCCGGAATAATTTTTTTTAAGAGATTTTATTTATTTATTTGACAGAGAGAGAGACAGCGAGAGAGAGAACACAAGCAGGGGGAGAGGGAGAAGGAGAAGCAGGCCTCCCATCGAGCAGGGAGCTCGATGCAGGGCTCGATCCCAGGAATCTGGGATTATGACCTAAGCCGAAGGCAGACGCTTAAGGACTGAGCCACCCAGGCACCCCCGGAATAATTTTTTTAATGCATATTTTAAAATGTTACTCCCCTGCTTAAAATTCTACTGGCTGGCCTGTGGCAATGCTCCAGCCAACTACATTTGTTGCTTCTCTCCCTCACTTTACCATTTTCTCCACACAACTACCTTTTGAAAACATTGAGCTACTCTCACCGTTCCTAAAGCAGCTAGGCCCCCAGCGTCTTTCACCATGCTATTCCCGCTCCCTGAAATAGCTTTCTCTTTACTTGGCAAACTGCTATACATCTTTCGGGGCCCCTCAGATTACCACCTCCTTGGGGAAACCTTTTTTTGGGGGGTGGAGATCCCTCAGACCATGCCCCTCCCCCGTTTACCTCTGGTTTTACACAGCCTGTCTCCCCCACTAAATTACGACCCCTTTGGGCGCCTGAGTGGCTCAGTCGGTTAAGCCTTTACCTTCGGCTCAGGTCATGATCCCAGGGTCCTGGGATTGAGTCCACGCTCAGGCTCCCTGCTCAGCGGGGAGTCGTCTTCTCCCTCTCCCTCTGCCCCTCCCCCCGCTCGTGCTCTCTTTCTCTCTCTCTCAAGTAAATAAATAAATAACATCTTTAAAAAAAATAAATTACGACCCCTTTGAGGACAGGATCAGAATCTTAGTCAAGTTTATTTCTGCCTGAGCTTTGCATACAATAAAAGTTTATTGAACAAATGAATCCCTGTATGCGCCTCCCCCCCCCCCGCCCCGGGGCAGGAAAATTTCCATGAAAGGGCAGGCTGATGCTGAGTCACGCACGTCTGGACTCAGGGTTCCAAAGAGCTGGGAGAGATGTTCAGTGAGCCGAGACTCTCGAGTATGAACTAAGCTAGGAAAGTTGGTAACGAGATCCGTCTGGGTGCCGTCGAGGGGTGGGCAGGAGAGTCAGTGGCCGACGCCGGAGTCTTGGTTCTTAGAAGGAGCTGAGAGGCCTAGGCGAGAGCTTGAGGAAGTTTGGAACTGGGAAGTACGAAGCGCCTAGTTTGGGGTCACCTGTCGGAGGGTGGTGGCGCTGGGACACAGCGACCCAGACGGTCCGTGACTCCGCGGTCCAGAGTGGGCGGGGAAGCGGCTCTCTCTTTCTCTGTAGTCTGAGCTCAAGTCCCGCCCCTTTCCGGGGAGGCTTCCCTGGATTGGCTGTCCTTCCTTAGCGTCATACGGCCCCGCCCCGGCGCGCGCCCCGCCGCGTGCCCACCCCCGGGCGGCTGCTGCAGCCTACGCTCTACTGCCACAGCCTGCCGCCCGCGGAGCCGGAGCCCGACCCGGAGCGCGCAGAGCTCGACTTGGGCTCCTGGGCCGCGGCGGCGGGCAGGCGATGCTCCAGAGGCCTGAGCAGCCATGGAGGCCGAGGCGGGCGGCCTGGAGGAGCTGACGGACGAGGAGATGGCGGCGCTGGGCAAGGAAGAGCTGGTGCGGCGCCTGCGGCGGGAGGAGGCGGCGCGCCTGGCGGCTCTGGTGCAGCGCGGCCGCCTCATGCAGGAGGTGAATCGGCAGCTGCAGGGTCACCTGGGCGAGATCCGCGAGCTCAAGCAGCTCAACCGGCGCTTACAGGCCGAGAACCGTGAGCTGCGCGACCTCTGCTGCTTCCTGGACTCGGAGCGCCAGCGCGGCCGGCGAGCCGCGCGCCAGTGGCAGCTCTTCGGGACCCAAGCATCCCGAGCTGTGCGCGAGGACTTGGGCGGTTGTTGGCAGAAGCTGGCCGAGCTGGAGGGCCGCCAGGAGGAGCTGCTGCGGGAGAACCTGGCGCTTAAGGAGCTCTGCCTGGCTCTGGGCGAGGAGTGGGGCCCCCGGGGCGGCCCCGGCGGCGCTGGGGGCTCAAGCGCCGGGCCGACACCCGAGCTCGCCTTGCCCCCCTGCGGGCCCCGCGACCTGGGCGATGGAAGCTCCAGCACCGGCAGCGTGGGCAGTCCCGATCAGTTGCCCCTGGCCTGCTCCCCAGATGACTGAGAGCTCAGCTTCCTTCACGTCGACGCCCGACCAGACTGCTTCCCAAGCGCCGGGACTGCGGTGGACCTCGGGACCTGGACGCCGTCCCGCCTGCGCACGAGGGGCCGCTGGCATGGATTTGGAAACTCTGGCACCAAGGAGGGCCCCTCGCTCTCGCTGGTGGGGCAGCAGGGGGACTGGAGGCTGGAAAGAAGGGACTTGCTGGGGGCGGGGTGGGGGCTAATAAACTGGAACGGAAGCAGAGCCCGTGGCCTGGGCAGCGTCTGTTTGGGACTCGCCGGGGTGGGAACGAGGGTGGGGACGTTGAGACAGGGTACCATTACCATCCTGAGGGGCTGCAGACCTAAGGTGGCTGACTCCCCCACTACCTCAAGCCTGGGGCGGGATGTGCGACCGTGGTAAGCCCCTGGCTCCCCCCATTAGGCTCGGGACAGGCCGTGATCCGGCCCCTGAAGTGGCTCCAGCTCCCTTCCCGGCTCCTTCCTGTCCAAGACAATGGGGCAGGAAGCAGGTGTTGGGGCCTAGAACCCACTCAGCGGCCTCCCCCGAGGCTGAACGGGGCATAACAGCGCCGTCCTGTGGCCCACGCAGGAGCGCTGTGGGCCCCCATCAGGAGGAAGATGATAATCCTTTTGGCTTGCACCCAACAGCACTCTAGTCCTCCTCTCAGTCCTAGAGACGAGGCAGAGCAGATGTAACCTCATTCGTCAGATAAGACAACCGAGGTCCAGAATTATCAAATAATTTGTCCAAACTCATGCAGTAAGTCCATAGAGCTGAGACCGGAGCCTCGGGCTTCTGGTTCCAAATGTTCTCCCTTTCTCCTCTGGTTCAATGAGACCAGGCCAGAACTTCGAGCCTTTTATTCCATTTTGGCAGGTTTGTATAAAAATACTCTCTGTAGGAAAATAAATAGCAGCTGCCTTCGTTGTGGAGGCTTGGATTCCCTGGAGCTAAAGTCTTCTCAGAGCTGGGGCGGGGGGGGGCGGGGGCTGCAGGTCAGCTCATCACAGAAGCCTCTGGCACTCTCCTGCCATGCAGGAGGGGCCAGCAGAATGCCCTGGTTCAATCACTTGGTGCTGCTGGCAGTGTGGGGCTAGGTGAATTAGTGTTCTAGGCTGGTAGAGTATCATCTGTCAGACCGGGTTGGGTGGATCACAGGAAGAGTGTGATGAAGACTGTAGGTGTGGTCTGGAGGGGCTTAGGGCTCTAGAGGACCTCTAGGGATCTACAAAGTCCTTTTTGGTTGCCAGGAGTTCCCTCGCACAAATGGGAAATATTTTGTCTCTGACTTAGTGCAAATTAATGCTGGAGAAGCCAGCTCTGGAAAAACAGTGGGCAGTTTTGGTGGCCCCAAGCTGGCTCTACTGGGAAGCAAAATATGCTCAGTCTCATCTGGAGGGATGGAGAAGAGCCTGCTGGGGATGGGCATGGGATATGGTCCAGACCAGCTGGACCAATGGGTGGGGAGACATTGGCTAGAGTGGGACCCGCCGGTAGGGGGGCTGGGGTGCCTCATAAGGCAAGGAGGGTGGGGGAGCCGAGAGGGTCAGAGGATGGGTCCCCGCTGCTGCTGCTACTCCTGCGATGGGCTGAGGCGCAGGGCTCAGGGGTGCTGGGGTAGGTGAAGACTGGACTAGGGGTGAAAGTCAGGGAAGGTGTGGTCATGAGTGTGGGGGTGTGCAATGCTTCGGGTTCAAGCACAGGCCCCGAGGAAAGAGAGATACAAGGTACAGGGCAGGAGGGGGCTGGTGGGCTGCTGGTGCCGCTGGTACCGCCCGGGCCGCCCGAGTCGCTCTCCGTGGCCCCTTCCGGGATTTTGCAGATGGGGCGGTGGGCTTCAAGCACCAGCTCCAGACGCTCCTTCTGCTTCTGCAGCTCCTCGATCTCTCGCTGCAGACCGGATTTCTCGTCCTCCAGTTTGTCAGTCTCCTGTGGAGGGTTAGGAGAGGAGTTAGAAGATGAGGGCTGAATACCGCGCAGTCTCCGGAGGTGGTGGTAATTGGGGAGTGGGGGTGGGTCTCCAGCGAGTCTGGACTACAACTCCCATGAGCCCTTGGGAGATATGGGCTCGACTCCCATCAAGCCCCGGAGCATCTTAGAAGGAGGTTGTCCGCCGAAGCTTTAACGCTCCTTCGCTTTGCTGGGCGTGAGACGCGCTATAACTAATTTTTCATCGCTTTTTCCTCCTCGTTTTCTCCGAAGGAATGCTCCTCCGACGGGAGCCTGGGGGAAGGGGATTTCATATACGGGCGCCCCCTGGAGCCCCGCAGGCTCAGGGGAGTGACGGCCCTCTGAGGTTTGGTGGGCCGGGGCCTGGACACCCTCCGCACCGGCCGGTGCTCACCGCCTGCAGGAAGTCGGTCAGTTCCTTCCTCCGGTTCCTGCACTTGGCCGCGGCCAGCTTATTCCGCTCGCGCCTCACTCGACGGCGCTCCTCCTCCTCCGGACTGATCTGGACGGGTAGAGGGAGTAGTGAGGTAGACCCAGGGCCACTGGTTGCCCGGCACTCGCCTTGTGCGGTGGCCCAGTGCTAGGATCCTGGCGGAGGACATGGCGGTGCAGCGCCCCCCGCCCCCGCCCCGGCCCTGCGCTTCAGGGACCTCACTGTACCGCGAGCGGTTCCCCTCATTCACGCTTTAGTAAGATGGAATTAATCAGATTCCCTCCTCGCACCCAGCTTTTGCCTTCTCTGATTCCTCTCTCAGAATGCCGCCCCCAACACACTCACACACACACTCCACAAACCTTTACACACACACACACACACACACACACACACACACACACCCCTCTCTCAGGACTCAATTGAGATACCCCCACTCTTCCAGGAAGCTTTCTCTCATTGTCCAGCCAGAAGTGGCCTTTCTTACTCTGAGCCCCTGGAAACCAATCGCTCTTTCTCGAAGGACCCTCATTCTTTTCAATCTCTTGACAACCAAGTGTCCTTTCCCCCAGAGGTTGTGAGCACTAGGAGGGATTCATGAGTGTTGCAGCTGAGCAAGTTGTTTTTTATTAGGAACCTATTACATGCCCACGGAAGAGCTTTACACAGATTCTTAACCCAACTTTCCGTGTAAGGAACTGAAGCCGGAGAGGATGAATAACGCATTTATGGTCCCAGGGCAGAAATTAAAATCCGCTCACTCTATTCAACACTGAGAGGCCTGCTAATGGAGACCACCTCCCCCAAAAGAACCCCACTTAGAGCTCACAGCCCCAGTCTAGGAGTCCCAGAAACAAAGAGCCCCCCTGAGGACAGGGCTGAAGAAGTCCAGGAGCCTGCTTCTGGGGCTCACAGCATGGTTTTCTTCTCCAATTTGTCACAAAGTCTTGTTTAACTGCACATCTTTCCAAGATCCTAACCTCTCTTCTCTTCTATCCTGCTGTCAGGGTAAGCTCCCTAATGCACAAGCCTCGCTCCGCTACAGTCTCATATACCAAAATGAAGGAGGAGCCACTCCCTTAAAGACCCTCTATCTCTTATTTATTTTGGTAAAGACTTTTTTTTTTTTAGCACTGTGAAAGCTGGAGCCCTGGTTGGGGAGCCAAGAGTTCCCAGCTCACTCTGCTTCGAGCCTCTGTTAGCTCTGGATGAGATAGTGTGGCTTGATGGTTAGGATCTCACTTTAGAATTAAAAAGACCTGGGGCGCCTGGGTGGCTCAGTCGTTAAGTGACTGCCTTCGGCTCAGGTCATGATCCCAGGGTCCTGGGATCGAGCCCTGCATCGGGCTCCCTGCTCGGCAGGAGGCCTGCTTCTCCCTCTCCCACTCCCCCTGCTTGTGTTCCCTCTCTTGCTGTGTCTCTCTCTGTCAAATAAATTTAAAAAAAAAAAAATCTTAAAAAAAAATAGAATTAAAAAGACCTGTCTCATTGCTCAGTACTTGTGTGATCTGGGCAAGTGACTACCTCTCTGTGCCTTCATTTCCCAGCTGTAAAATGGAGAAAACCAGAGTGCATTCCTCAGAGGTATTTTGTAAAGATTAAATGAGATAGGGAAACTTAGACCTAGAGAGTAGCTGCAGGGAACCCGCCCCTTTCTGTTCTCTCCCCAGCTCCATAGACAGCATATGTTCACCATCACCATACATGTCAGCAGGTGGAGACCCTCTACCATCCACCCACCTTTCCACATGTACACCTTACATGTTTTCACCTCCACCTCTATTCTTGCTCCTGCCATCCTCCCTACCTGGAATGTCTTTTCCTTCGTCTCTACCTACGCAAATCCTACCCATCCTTCCAGGCGAATATACCTCCAGCTCCAGAAAGCTTTCCCTGATCTAGAAGTGACCTCTTTGCCCTCTGGATCACCCCAGGGGCTCCTATTACTTTCTCCCTTGGCCAGGAGTCACCAGTGGCCCCACCTCCCCATCTCCCCCCTTTCTAAGCCTGTGTTCTTTTGGCCAAGAACTTGTCCTCTGCACCTCAGCCCCCTTGTGGCCATCAGAACCAGTACAACACCTCTGCTCCTTACATGTTCACTGGGCCGTCGACGAACCCCTGGAGGTGGCCCAAGGGCCCGGATGACTCCTGGCCGGGGCTGCGGGGGACTGTACTGGGGGTAGGCCAGAGGCCTGGGGTAGCTGCCGGGTCCCAGGAAGTGAGGCTGCACCATCCACTGCAGCTCCTGGCTGCCACTCACAGCATTGATGCTTGGCACGAGGTGGAACTTCTGAGGGATGAGAAATGGAAAGCCAAGGATGAGATCTGTGTAGCCTGAGGGTTTTCACTGGACAGAAGCCACCCCACCGTCCACCCTTAATGCAGCTGCTGCTTCCGAGAGACCGGAAAGAGCACAACTTGACAGAGAGACTGACTTGGTGACAAATCCCTGCTTAAGAGCTATGCGACTTCGGGCAAGTCTCATAACCTTGCTGTGCCTTCATTTTCCTAGTGGAACATACTATAAAGTATGAATTCCAGGCACTGTCCCAACCACTTTACAAATACTGACTCTTCTAATTTGCACAACAGTGTCTTCATTTTCAATCGGGAAAACAGTTGTCCACAGACACATAGCCAGTAAGTGGGAAGTGGAGCTTGGGCCCAGGCATACTCCTGTACTCTGCCTGAGTCCCATCTGCACAAAGAGGAGAATTCCAGCTCCTGTCTCCAAGGCTGGCTGAGAGAATCTGGTGAGAGAATGTGTGTGACAGGGCCTGCTAAGTGGCAGGTGTCCAGTGCCCAGGGGCTGTGGTGGGCAAGAACCACTGCCTTGGGTTTAGGCTGTCCCAGTGAGCTCTTAGCTCAGCCACTTACTGGCTATGACTCTGGGCAAGTTACTTAATCTCAGTGTGCCTCTGTTGCCTTGCTTTTAATATTGTCATAGGTGAGGATTATGGCATTTCATTGATGCTAAGAGATGCCCTTTAGTAGCTCTGAAATCACAGTTCGCTTGGCAGCTTTAGAAAAATTTAGCGGCATTGGGGCACCTGGGTGGCTCAGTCGTTAAGCGTCTGCCTTCGTTCGGCTCAGGTCATGATCCCAGGGTCCTGAGATCAAGTCCTGCATCGGGCTCCCTGCTCCGCAGGAAGCCTGCTTCTCCCTCTCCCACTCCCCCTACTTGTGTTCCCTCTCTCGATATCTCTTTCTGTCAGATAAATACATAAAGTCTTGAAAAGAAAAGAAAAATTTAGCAGCACAATATAATGGTGGGTTTTCAAATCAATGAATTCTTAGATTCTGTGAAATACGGTTAATGAGGTAGAAACCTCACGGACCATGCAGGCGGCACTCTATGCGCTCTATGTATTACCTGCCAACATTTTCTTTCAGCCAGAAATCTGAGGAAGGGATTGAGATGGGGATTCAGTATCGGGGAGGAGAACTGGGTTCAAGCCTTGGGGCTGGGCTCTGGCGCCCAGGCCTCCGGGAAGCGCGCCACAAGTCCAGGCAAGTCCAGACAGCGGTGTCCCCGGCCCAGCGCTGCGGGCCCAGTGGCCCAGTGACCCCAGTTCCGGGACCGAGGCACCGCCGGCGGCATCTCCCGCTCCCGAGGTAGTCCGGGCCGGGCCGCTCCGGGCCAGGAAGGGAGGGGCGCCCCGGGTGAGTCAGCCACCGTGACTCGGCCGCTGTGACTCGGCGGAACGGTCGCCGCTCCTTCCCTCCCCTAGCGACACGTGCGCGCTGCCCCTCGACAGGAAATGGGCACCTGCAGCCACCCAAGTCCCCCCCAGCCTGCAGCGGGGCGCCCTTCGGTGACAAGAGTCGGGGGCGCGGGAGCTGCCCGCTGCAAGACCCTGCGCATGTCCCGGCATCTCTCAGTCTCCACTGGCCCCAGCCTGTAAATTAGGGGTCGGGAACCAGTCTCCGGGATCCCACCAGGTTCCACTGCGCCAAGAAGGGGATAGGGACTTGGCGACAGGACAGAGAGGGACAGACAAACGGACACACAGATGGTCACAGACTGTGCTGAGGATTCCCAGTCTGTCGGGGCTAGCCTGCCGCTGGATCCCGCCTCCCTCCTGTGTGGGGACTTCTCGGCCTCAGCCCAGACTCCGGATCCCGGTAATTTAGTCTGCGATGGATCAAACCCTCTGCTCCTGTCCGAGCTGGGGCTAATCCCGGACTAAGGGGCGTCCTCCTGACGCAGACAGGACAAAGAAATTAGTTGTGGACGGGCGGAAAGAAAGAAGGTAACAGAGACGGCGGGACAGATGGACAGCAGACAGCGAAGGAAAAAGGGGGCGAGCGAGAGGGGACGTTCGCAGATCCTTGTGGCGCCCGCCGCGCGCATTCCCCTGGGCTGCTGGCGAAATGTGCCTCTAGACGGTGGAGAACGGGAAGCATCCGCGGCCACGGCCACGGCCCCAGACCCAGTCCCTACTCCTGTTCCCGGCCCCAATCCCAAAGTGTGCGGAGCCGACCGCAGCGTCCCAGGCGCTGTCCACCCGGGAACCCCAGGCGTCGGGTCCCTCTCACCTGCTGGCCTGAAGAGGGGGGCTGCGCCGGGCCGCCGTACGCACCGCCGGCCCCGGAGCTCGGTCCGGGTTCCCCAAAGTCTCGGAACATGCCCTGGCTGGCTGCTTTGTGGGGTCCGCCTCGCCGGCTTCGGTTCTGACTCACTTGCTCCTCGCGGAGTCTTTTCTTTTAATGAATGAAAAGTTCTCGGGCTGAACCACTTCGATTGCCGGGGGGGGCGGGGAGCGGGCGATTTTCAACGGCACTGGACACCTCAGGGCTCCACCTCCCCAGAAGCGCCGCCTTTTGCCAGTCCGCACGGAACTTGTCTACGCCTCCTGCAGTCCGGTAGCCGCCTTTTCGTGGGGGAAAGGGACGGACCCGGCGTCCCCCGCGACAGCGGCGGTCTGCCTCCTCTGACGTAGTTGCCCATACATGGTGCAATTTCCTCGCCGCGCCCAGGTGGAACCGAGGATTCCCCCGAGGATTTACGCACCTGTAAACGGCTGGGCGCCGGGCCCCACCCCGCCGGCGAGCCCAGGCTTTGGGCCCGCCTTCCCAATTCGGGGCGCGGGGCCCACTCACCGCCTGGCCTGGCCTTAGTTTTGACATCCGTCAGATGGGACGAGAGAATCACGCCTTGCAGCGCGTGGGGGGTTGAAATGAAGAATGAGAAAGGGATCTGGAAACAGTAAAGTGGATTATAAATGTGATTGTGGTGGTTATTATTTTATTTGCTGGGTGCTTACTTCATGCCAGGAACCGTGCTACTGCCATCCAAGGCATTGTTCTAAGGTTCAGGTACACTAAAAAGTGGGTAAGTGATAAACCAGGCTTACCGAAAGGGAAATGTTTACAACGAACAAGTTAATGGTTTGAACTACCCACAAATACAAGGCAACATGATTGTGCTACTCATAGGATAATTTCAGAAGTTATAACAAGTTTTAATTCAGAGCCTCCATAAGCGGTTAAGAGCCTGCAGAGCCTGCAGCGGGACACGGTTGTCCTGTGGTCTGATAAATGCCATCTTCTTTAAATACCGTCACCGTTCTCTGGGGGCTGTGTGGTCACCAGCCTTATTTGGAGATTATGTCAAAGGTCTGTGTGAATGTGAGGCTGAGGCCAAATTTCAACAACCAAGGCCAACAACCCTGGGGAGTAGGTACCATCGTCATCCCCATTTTACAGATGGGGAAACTAAGGCTGAGGGATGTTGAAATGAAGTGCCTAATGTCCCTAAGCAAGTGGCTGAAGCAGTTTGCCAAATCAGGGCTGTGGGAGCCCCAAGCCCATGCTCTGTCAAGATTTCTCAAAGCCCTCCTAGACACTTTTTCACCGGTGCAGAATGTCAGCGCTGAGAGGACCAAAGCTTCTCTGCTTCCTGCCGCAGCCAGGGTCACACAACTACAGAAAGAGACCTGGGTTCTCCTGCTTCCCACTGCTACCTCCATTTGATCAGCTCCAGTTTTGTCCTCAGGGAAGGAAGAGTTTGGGGAAGCAGGGTCCTGGGCTGCCCTCCTTGGGGACTGAGGCCAGGGGTCTGTGGGTGCACTCAGGACTCAGACACAGAAGGCCAGCGTGGCCCTGGGCTTCCAGTCTCTGAGCTACTATTTTCTGTCTCTATGACCCTGGGTGGGTCACCTGCCCTTTGAGTCCCAGTCCCAATGGGAGTGATTGAGCCTCCTGCTGACCTCATGGGGTTGCTATAGGATCAAATGAGATCATAAATGTGAAAGAGCTTTGTAAGTTCTAAAGTGCTGTTCGCTCAGAAGGTGGTTGCCAGCTTGGTGCCTCTCCCATGCCCTTATTCTACTCAATGCTTGTCTTTCTCTAAAAAGAAACCAACAGCAGTTTACCAGAATGAGAAATAGAGAGGTGAGAGAGACAGAGGGAGAGAGAGAGTGATTTGAGGCAGTGTGATCCATGGAAAAGAACATGCATGCTGAAATCAGACAACTCTGGGTTCTGGAGTTTGAATTCTGGTTAGGCTGCTCACCAGCTGTATAATCTAGATGAGACACACAATCTACATGTCAGGGTTGTTACAGAATAGAAATAAAATAATATCACATGTTTAGCCTGGCATATAGTAAGAACTTGACAAATAGCAAAAACAGGGACGCCTGGGTGACTCAGTCATTGAGCGTCTGCCTTCGGCTTGGGTCATGGTCCCGGGTCCTGGGATCGAGTCCCACATCGGGCTCCCTGCTCCGCGGGAAGCCTGCTTCTCCCTCTCCGACTCTCCCTGCTTGTGTTCCTGCTCTCGCTCTCTCTCTCTGTCAAATAAATATATAAAATCTTTAAAAAAAATAGCAAAAACAAATACACATGTTAATAAAAAGCTCCAGAAGCGGGAGCCCTTGGGGTTCTGATCACATACTAAGGCAATCATGCAGCACACACACTAACTGATGTTTGAACTCTTTGGCTGAGCCCAGGTTGGATGGGTCAAGGTGACAAAGGCAGCCAGCCAGGTGGTGGCACATGTGAGGACTGACACAGGTCAGCCTCGACTGCATACATCTGCCTGATCCAGAAACACCACCCTGTCCCACTCCCCCCAGCATCCTGGGGCAGTGACTGAGCTCAGGGGCTCAGGTCTCAAATCTGTGTGTGTGTGTGTGTGTGTGTGTGTGTGTGTGTGTGATTGCGTGGTTCTGAAAGTCCCTTCCTGCCCTAACCGTTGGTGGAGCCACAAGGAGGACCTTTCAGAGGCAGCACATTCCAAGCTCCTCAGTCACTAACTTCTGCTTCGCGGCTGCAGAAACGTTCCGGGCCCCTGACCTCACCAGCTCCCACCCAGGGAGGCCAGGCGAGATTCCCAAGTGGCCACTGTGATTGCAGGAGTCCGGGGGCCCAGAGGTCTGAGAAACCAGGGCACTGTCCCTTGGCACCTTGTGTGAGCCTGGTTCAGTCACTTCCCTCCCTGAGCCCCAGAGAATGCCCACCTCTTGGGGCTGCAGTGAGGCAAATGGAGGCGATGGATGAGTGTGCTTGGCACCCAGCAAGTTCTGTCAGTGCCCCTAGGATGTGAGGCGATGTTTATGTTTATGTGTTTCATTTTCCTTTCACTTTTTATTTTTTTTAAGATGTATTTATTTATTTGAGAGAGAGAGTTTGGGGGGATGGTGCAGAAGGAGAGGGAGAGAAATCCTCAAGCTGACTTCCCACTGAGCATGGAGCTCTACTCGGGCTCGATCCCAGGACCCCGTGATCATGACCTGAACTGAAATCAAGAGTCAGACACTTAACCCACTGAGCCACCCAGGCACCCCTCCATTCACTTTTTAAAAAGGATTTTATTTATTTATTTGAAAGAGAGAGAGAGAACAAGGGAGAGGGAGAAGCTGACTTCCCACTGAGCAGGGAGCCCGATGCGGGGCTCGATCCCAGCAACCTGGGACCATGACCTGAGCTGAAGGCAGCCGCTTAACCGACTGAGCCACCCAGCTGCCCCTCCATTCACCTTTTAAGTTGAAGTTTATTTATTTTATAAATGAGGTTGAAATTTACATAACATACAATTAACCATTTTAAAGGATAGACTTCCACAGAATTTTGTGCATTCACAATGTTGTGCAACCACCACTTCTCTCTCGTTTTCTAAACTTTTTTATTATACCAGAAAATCATCCCCTTCCCATGAAGAAATCACTCCCAGTCGCATTTCCTGGGAACCACAAATCCTCTTTCTGTCTCTATGGATTTACCTATTTTGTACATTTCATATAAATGGAATCATACAATATGTGACCTTCTACATCTGGTTTCTTTCCCTTACCATGTTTTCCAGGCTCATTTATGTTGTCTTATGTATAAATACTCTGTTCTTTTTTATTGCCGAATAATATTCTATTGTATGGATATACCACTATTTATTTATTCATAAGCTGATGGATATTTGAATGTTTCTCCTTTTGGGGTATTATGACTAATGCTGCTATAGACATTTGTGTACAAGTTTTTGTGTGGACATATGTTTCATTTATTTTGGATATGTACCTAAGAGTAGAATTGCTGGCTCATATGGTTAATTCTCTGTTTCACCTTGTGAAAAACTGCCAGACTGTTTTACAAAGCAGTTGCACCATTTTACATTCCTACTGGCAGTGTATGAGTGTTCTAATTTGCCCACATCCTTGCCAACATTTATTATTTCCGTTTTTGAAATGAAAGACATCCTCGAGGGTGTGATGTGGTATCTCATTGTATTTTAATTTGCGTTTCCTTAATAACAGATCATGTTCCTTAATGATTAATATATTTTCATGTGCTTTTTTGCTATTTATATATACTTTAGGGACAAATGTTTATTCAAGTCCTCTGCCCATTTCTAATTTTTTTTTAAGTTGGCTCCATGCCCAATGTGGGGCTTGGACTCACAGCCTGAGATCAAGAGTCCCATGTTCTACGAACTGAGCCAGCCAGGCACCCCTAATTGTTTTTGTTTTTTTTGTGTGTGTGGTTGTTGAATTATAAGAGTTCTTCATATATTCTGGCTAGCAAACCCTTATTTAAAATATGATCTGCAGATATTTTTGCCCATTCTGTAGGTTGTCTTTTCACATTTTTTCAGAACACCCTTTGATGCACAAAAGTTTTTAAAATTTTTATGAAGTCTAATTTCTGTTTTTTCTTTTGTTGCTCATTCTTCCAGTGTCAGAGCTATGAGTCTACTGCCAAATTTGAACATTTACCCCTATGTTTTCTTCTAATTGTTTTATAATTTTGGTTCTTATATTTAGGTTCCTGGCTAAATTGAAGTTTAATATACATCTAGTGAAGTGCGCTCATCCAACATGTTCAGCTCGATGACTTGTTACGTGTATGTAAACCCGTGTAGCTACTGCCCTCATCATGATGGAGGACATTTCTAGCAGCTCCCAAGCTCCTTGTGGCCCCCCTCAATCACCACTCGCCACCCATGGGTACCACTATTCTGACTTCTAGCATCATTGATGACTTTTGCCTGTTCTTGAACTTCGTATAAACGGATGCGTCCTTCCATGGCCAATCGCACTCATTTCTCCAGGATAAGTACCCAGGGGTGGAATTATTAGGTCACAGGGTACATGGGCCTGAGCTGAAGGCAGAAGCTCAACCGACTA